TGGAAAGATTTCATTCTTGGAAGATTCGACAGAGGGCATGAAAATCATTACTTTACGATCCCTCTGATTGATGAACGCAACCTCATCTCATCATTAGAGCTACAGTAAAATTTACCCTAGGAGTAAATAGTTAAGAGGTGATACTGATCTATATTTTGGTAAATCTATGATAAATAGTGGTAGTCGGTGTTAAGCTCCACTTTCTGCAAAAAGAAGCTTTATCACTGAGGATGAATTTTTAAACATTTGGTACGTAATTATGGAAACTCTGTTTTTTAAGAAGTCGAAGACCTTAGAGGCACTTTAACTCATTCACTCTTTGCAACTACATCCCATTTAGCACTGTCGTTAAGGCGGAAGATGTTTGAATACCCACGCAGCAAAACCGCTACACAACATTACAAACACAACCATCAAATATTCCCAACCGTTCATGCACACATATAGTGTTTTCGTCGTTGAACTCATGTTTTAACTTTTTAATTCTACTTGAAAATACTTACTTATTGTTTCAACAAATGGCGTTTAAGTGTAAGCAAAATTGCATTGAATTAAAAATAATAGTAGCGTAAAAGCACGTAACTAAAAATTCACTATATAGACGAAGGTTGCAATCCTATTTTAATTAATTGAATAATTAGAGAACCACATTGCTAACCTTTTAACAAGTTTATGAGGGAAATAAGACCAGACTTATGTATGTAAGAACAAGAGGAGGAATTTTGACTGGGGATCAAGGAGATCATCGGTGACTAAACATTTTTGCATGGGTCGGTTATTGCAATGATCTATTTGATTCGTCACTCAATTATTTTCAAGTTATTATTTCGGGTAAACTACTTAAAATAGACCCTTCACCATTGCAGTTTTCAGACATACTTAGACGATCTCACATTCCAACTTGAAATATATTAGAATTCACAATATATGGAGTTAGCCATCTTTAGATTCACACTTGTATCTTATTACCATTCCCTTATTAAATGCATGAATGGGCATCAATGAAATCACAAATATCTCTGTTTTATTTGCAAGCTGAATAGAAATACAAACTCTACCTTTGGTAACAAACCAACAAATGTATTTTTTATATTTATATCAAATGGCAGGCTTTATGATAGTTATCAGGGGTGTGCGATGGACCGACCTCCACGTGGTGCACCCTGGGCAACGTATACTCATACGCCAAAAAGGTCTATTAACCGGCAGTTGACTTCTGACTTCAAATTACCATGAGCTGACTCCATGTCATATTCGATCATTTCACAGTACTCACCTAACCTTTTTTCTACCTTTGTGTCTGACTCTTGCATCTTTGAAACGCTCTTCTGTTCCTCCCCTCTCTCGACTTCTTTTCACTTTGATGTTCCTTCCCCTCTGTGGAGCCTGCAGTCAACTAACTATCAAAACGCCTGCCATTTGATATAAATAAATGATAGTTATCACTAGCCCCTTAGTGGACTTCGGGCTTCACAAAAAGTCGGAGGCTGGAACAGAAGAGTGAGTAACAGATGTGAAAGAGACAGACAGACGCATTGGTAGAAAAAAAGGGTAAGGTGATGTGAGAGCTGTTTAAGTAGTAGAACATGACATGGTGGGGTCATGGTAGTTGCAAGTTATAGACTTTTTTGCCGAATGAGTATGCGTTGCCCATAGTGCACGACGTAGAGGTAAATCTATCGCGCATCTTCCAACCAATGTAATTTACTACAAATACTAACCTTTAGCAAACTGAAAATAAACGTTTCGAGTGCAATATTATTAAGCCCTTGGAGGGACATTATGTTAAACTCTAAGGTCTGTTTTGCCAAGAATGATTTGAACAGGAAATTTTTGTTTACCATCGCCTCCACATGTATTCGCTGTTACAGATTATCATTGATAATTGAATTGTATATATTGCAACAGTCAACACGCACTTCTGTCATAATAAGAAAACGAAGTCCCTAATCAATAAATAAAATGCTCACTAAGCTATACTCCACCTGGCTTTCGTCTTAAACACACTTTTCACATCATATGTAGACCCACGTAAACAGAAGATGGCAGAAAAGTCTGACCCAGGCAAGAGTTAAATAACCTAGTTCTAGATTCACACGCTACAACGTTAAGCTATATCACGCCATTAAGGCAAATAATTTTTCAACCTTGAAATTAACCTGCGTGACAGCCAATGGATAAAGTGCTAGTTTTCCATTGGCCCATAGTTGAGGTATTTAAGCGTGCTGGGGCTGTAAGCGCCTGTTCATGTGCGCTGTTTGCGATCGCGCGAGGGTTCGTGTTCCAGCGCGCTGTTGTGGTTGACTTGCAACGCAAAGGTGCTTAGTGAATTGTATCCTTGTATCTTAACGACTTTCAATGCAATATATTGGACGAATTTTCTCCTCAGCTAAACGGATGTACAGTGATATCAATAGTGCCACATTGTGTGGAGCTATTGATGTTATTGTTGTCAAGTATCCCAATGGTGAACTTGTCAGCTCCCCGTTCTATGTACAATTTGGCAAGACAGGCGTCTTACGGCCCTGTGCTGATGAAGTATGTTTAGCATTTTACAGAAATTCTATCATTGACCATATGTTATCCTTGTTTGCATTTGTGATAGCAGAAATGAGTGAAACCTATTTGGTCCTGGATTTTGAATTTATAGGTAGAGGTCTCGATCAACGGAGTACCACGTCCGGACATAAGGATGCGGGTGAATCGATACGGCCAGGCTTACTTCGATGATCCCGTATGTTTAAAGAAAAAGTCAGCTTGATTATCACTGTTGTTACTTAGACTAATACGGAATAATTGTCCTTGTTAATTGGAGGAAAGCAACTGATAAGAGTTATCAGAGTCCAATAAATGATAAATAGGTGGAACCAGAGTCAAGTTATTAAAGAGTCTTCATTTAATTTTTGGAATCGGCTGTACAATATTTAAAGCCTTTCTAAAACTTAATTTTCGTGGTTCGGCCTTTGGGCTTGAACAAACGCTTACGTACAAAATTCACTGCTATTGACCCTATTGTTTTAATAAAGAAAAATCGATGCTGCCGCCTCCTTTCGTTTTATTCTTTCAACGCACGAGGAGGCAAGGTAATTATGGTATCATATAATCAGATTGGGCAGTCTAACGTGCTGGTAAACACAAGTAAAACCACAACTAGGACACGTCAGGTCTAGTTCAAGTAGGTTTATATTGCATCGATTGCATTGACTGGGTAGACCAACTTGTGGCCATAAGCAGGTCAATCACACTCAGGTCCCAATAGCTCAAAGGGAGCCTATCGTGTGGTCCGAATGTGTACCCCTGATTACGCAGGCAATTATAGCATTGTTCTCAAACTCATTGATTTGATCGACTTTAGTGGTTTAAGTTATCTGAATACAGGCCTAATCATTTGGAACTGCTTGAAAATATTTTCAAATATGTGCTCATTAAAATCGCGAATATTGATTTTATGAATTTCGTAAGCACTCTAATAACACAAAATGTGTGTGCTTACGTATATCCTTAATAATACTCTAATCGGGAGGCCGCATAATGGTTCAACTGAAGGGTGCAGGGAGGGGAGTTCTAATTGGAAGCCTCCGTAAAGGCAGGGTTATCGAGTGGACATGCTTCATTTACTTTATATTTTAATCAGGTTCCGCCCCTTGTGTCGAAACATTGCCTTTTCAAACATTTGGATCTAATCCCAAGGTTTCGGAGTGAATATTTATATTTGTAAAGCTTAGAGTAGCTATTTAAGTGAGTGGCCAAAACTATCCTTTTCTGGCCTATGAGCATCTATTTCTTTTTATTTCTAAAATTAGTTAAGAAATCGAAAAATATTGATCAAAAGATATAAGTTTTGAGCATATCTTATTCCTTTTATCCTTTAGAATTCCAATGATCCCGAAATGAGAGCCTCTTCGCCAAATCTCGATTCTGGAATCCAATTTGGTAAGCAAGGGAAAGAGGTTCAAAAAGTTACACTTTCATTCCTATGCTGTGCATACTTTGGTTTTTAAGTATTCTTCATCTGCTGCTTACATACTTGCAGTAACTTTAGTAAACGGTAAACTCTTGTTGTATATAGATTTTAGATTGATTACCTCTCATGAAACAGTAGAATGTTAACAAACAAGCTAGTAGAAAGCACTATATTCAAATATTGTCATCTTTATTCCATTTTCAAAAATAGATTTCCAACCAGGCCAAAGTTCACCACACTCAGAATCCTCCTATTATCCCACTCCCCTGGAAATGACGACTAGAACACAGGGCACCAGTTCTTCCATTATTAGTTCAAAACAGGATATTCTCCAGGCCCTTCCAATGCTTCTACAGAGTTCCGATTTCAGGTTTGTTACTATTAATAGGCTACGTTATAATATCCGCTTAACAATTTATCTGCTACTTGAGTCACACGTAGATGGAATTCAATCAGCTGATTTTGAAGTTTGCGTTGCTTTCACATGATTCAAAAAATGTGGAGCCCTTTTCATTGAAAGTCGTGAATCAGATTAGATCACTTGATCACTAGCATAAACAGCGCCCATTTTCTCAAGTCCAACTGTCTCCACAAACAGCGAAAATTTTTTCGCAATCTACAGTAGAGAAAAAAGCAGGTTCTCATTGTAAAAACTAGTTTGTTGCACTTCAAAGAGAACCAAGTATAGTATGACGCAGTGAGCGTTATTTTTAATTACAACGGAAAGAAAATGTAAAATATAAATAAATTTTATCAAGAAATACTATATTTCATATTTTTAAAAATCGTTATTTGCTTTTTTTGATAGGAATTTAAGCACTTCACACGAATATGAACTAATTGAGTAAATAAGTGGTTCTTCAAAAGGGTGTTACCAAAATGGCGTGACTAATTGTTGTGCAATATGTTGCATAGTCGTCTCTAGAATAAAATACAACTGATGCATATCTTATGAGATACTTATTTCAGTTAAAAAATGAAGGACTAGAGCAGTTCAAGGTGGCCAAGAAACATGATTTATTTATTGATTAGAATTCCAATGTATTGTCGAGCTCTCATTAGTATCGAAGCGACTGTATTGCTATACGAAGATTGATTACTGGTGGGTCATTTTTGCCGACTGCTGAATGATGTATTGAAGCTTATGCTATATTGATTAACCAACGATTGTTTCATTCCAATCAAAAGAGAGTACTTGAATATTGTAAAGAGTGGTCGTAGATACTGATATGTATTTGGGTTAAAATCCTTCTTCTAATCTATGCTACGGCAACAAGACAGCTGGGACTAGCAAGTTTGCTGGCGGAAGTTGTAATGGAGATAGAAAAGGGGAGCAAAGTGGTCTGTCGGTGTTGGAGGTTGTGTTGATCTGTAGTTGTTTATTGCTAGGGCAAGCTAGTTCAGGGGGTAGCATAAACAATTGGAAAGATCTTAGGCCAACTTCGAGGAGATAAATAACTAGAGAGATGGGACGGTACAGCATAAAGTTGTTAAATTAATCAAATACAATTTCAGTTTATTCGAAATATTGTGAACTTTAGAACTCGTTGAATCATGTACTCAATTTCATAAGTTCACGCTTTGCCCATTGCGTTTCTGAATGGCATTTCGTGTTCGCGGTTTTCTGGTCTTATTAATCATTTGCTTAAATTAGGTGCGTGACCATGTCATATTGACGCACGCTTTTTTAAATGCATAAAGTACCAGTAAGTAGATAATGGCGAAAGTGTTTATGGTTTTCTTTCTCATGTTTTATAAAGGAGGCATTAATATTCATAAATATGGAGGATAAATAGAATTCATAATTTTATAAGAACTATGTCTTGGCGACTGGCAAGAATTCATAGACTACTTTAACAAATCTTTGAATGATAACCATTTTAGGATGTGCAGAGTAGTAAAAATTGAGTTTCTTTATTTTAGCATTATTTAATTTTAAATAACGACAAAATTTATGGGTGGTTGGTGCTTATTGAAGCTGTTTATTTGGGGCACCAAAAGGCGGTTAGTACTGTGGTAAGTAGATGATTATCCAATTACCACAAGTGCACAAATAGGGTAATTTCACAAGTTTTTCAGTGCTTATGCACTTAAGCCTCTCAAGCGTTACAATTAAAATACGCATCCATATCCAGGTCTCTATTTAAACAGTATTCTTCTGTTACTGAGGCATAGAAGCAAAAATCACATGAATGGCGTAAGTCATGGCTTCTCATCAATTAATGATTGATGGATTAAAATTAACTTCGGAAGAGGATATCTGGACTTGATAATTCTCCACATATTAAATTACAGCTCGAACTAGCCATGAGTGGGGCAGATTTGGCGTATTTATGACGTAGATCTTTATTAGAAACCGATAATATAGGCATTAATAATTTTGATTAAAAATGGAACGTGATAAGGCTACTTAAAACAAGAATTATAATTTGAAAGTCAAAATACCCTTAAATATTGCCTTTGCAATTCCTTAAATCATTCGGTGCATCTTTATAGGACGTATAGTCTTTACTTTAATATTTCAGTTCTTGGTGGACTTGGCATCGATCTATCACAATAAGTCTACTCGAGTTATCTATTTTTAATTAATTAAAGTTTCAATACGTTGGCACGTTCTCAGAAATTTATCAATCATCATGCGGATGAGATTATGCACTTATCTCTAACCTTGACACTTGAAATTTTGAAAGCATACTCTTTTCCTACCTTAACACCTTCAAAACTTCATCTGTGAAAAATTAATTTACAAATTAAAACCCTTAAGCAATTGAGTGAAAGATATCTTTGGTATGATGGAGGAAATGAATTATCTGGGGTCAGTGGAATGTTTAGTCTCCAAAGCTAAATTTTTATCATTCATACAGAATTTATCCGATTTACTTTCTTTTTTCTTTCAATATCAACTTCGAATTCCAATCGTGGATCAGAATTACTTGTGGGCTTGGGAAACGTTAAACTTAATTATGATTGAACTTAAACATCTAGAACTTTGACATTTGTAGAAACGTTGGCTTCATCACTTAACACCACTTCGGAATTGGTGGGTTGTCTATTTGGAAGTATTTCCTAATTACTTGATTAATAACCTGTTAAATATGTTTAGAGTTAGGTATAATCTATTCTAGTTTTCTTTAAATTTTAATACATTCAATAACGCATTTCTACGTAACCAATTGGCAAACTGCTCCAATGGTAAAACGTGCACTAATTTTACACTTTAATGCTTTAGTGAATTCGAGGCAAATATGCAGTGGTGGGATCAGAATAATGTAGCCTCCGATTCTGACAAACTCCAACTCTACAGTCTTACAGATGAGCAAAGCAAGGCCGCCGCTCAATCTGCTAGTGACAGTGTCTGGGTGTACTGGAAGAAAACCTGGTATTCCTGGCGAACCGCTAATCTCAAGCTTCGTTTTTTACGAAATTTGGGATCAGCTTTACCTCCGGTAAGACTTCATCTTACTCTGATTTGGTTTACTTTGCTAGTTCATTCATGTTTGCGCTCTCAGTTTGTGTACTTTTCTCCCTAGGTCAAGCGATGAACTTTAGTTAAACTAATCAAGTAAACTTTGCATTTATTTCATGAGGATAATTTTCTCGTTGTAGGACTTTGAAACTATTGAGTCAAAAATGATGGAAATTGATCGGGAGAATCCAGCTTTCGTACTATTACCGGAGGTGCCTTCATCATTGGCTAGTGAAAAGGAGCAAGAGGGGACCCAATTTGAATTAGACCAATCAGAAAACTCAGAGACTGGTGTAAAACCATTTTCCATGATCCTACACAAAGCGTCAAACGATGGTATTGATGAAATAGGTCAAAATCTCCGATCTACTTTTATGTAAGTTTCACGAAGTTTGCAACCTGCATACGTGATGTGTGTGGCGCGATAATTCGGTGAATTTTTTAACACAGCCATGGGTGCTAAAATTTACCATTTGCTTTTTTGTCTTGGAAAAGCGTTGAAACACAGAACAAATGTAAGGAAGGGGGGGGGGGGTAACAATGTGTCACCAAAGCATTTTATTACAATTAAATTTTTTCTCATCAAGGTATGTACTAATTATTGTCATGCTAAAGTTTAATGTTTGATTGTTCAGACCATGTTGATCAGATTGATGTATTTGATGAATTGGTGCGTTAGACTTGATGCGTGCTTTTTCTAAGGAGGAAGTCGTCGAATTCGTGCTAGTCTATGCTCGTTTATTCGATGTCCGAGCGTAGCTCAAGGCGCGTTGCCTAATAACATTAGGGTTCTTCTACCGTTATGCCTTCCAGTCCCAAATTTTGAATAGCTGGCTTTTTTAAGTAATCGATATCGACTTTTAAGAAGGATATGCTTTATAATTTTTTCATGTAACTGGTATCGCTGTAGTCTTGCGGGTACTTAATATTAGTAAATGTGGGCTAAATCGCGCAGAGGTCAGAGTGCTCGTCAGTTAAGGTCAGAGGTCACGATGTAAATGCTTGTCGGTGCTCTTAAAGCAATGTTGGTGGCCATTTGCACTAAATCTGATTAACGAGAGGGTTGGTGGAAAGGGAATTGTCTAAAATCACACCTCCGGGATTCTATGCTTCTCCATGTGACTATTACTAACATTCTTAGTAGACGTGAGAGCTTATTTCAAAGCAAGCCTGAGCATTTTTTGTTAACTTGGGTGCAACCAAAGTGCCTGAATGCTACGTGTCGATTCAATTTTGTGATTCCATGGAAAACCAATAAGATTATTTTCAGTTTCTGCTTTTTTATGCTGGACGAGTTGAATAGTACTCATCAATGACAGCTTATAATGGTTCTCTTTCTAGTGGTGACCATGCACTGTCCACGCCGAATACACCTCCTCGTTCACCATCCGCCAATGAATTCGCCTACTTTTCCGAAGGTCATTCACCGAAGGATTTCGAGGAGGAGGATCAAATGAGTCCGGGACTCAATTGGCGACTAAAGTGCAAGTGGGAACAGGGATGTAATACCCCAGCTTTCAAGCTTTCGTCGAATGACCTGGTAAATGTTACGGTATTGTTATTTTTAAAGAATTCACCTAGAGTGCAATGAAGTAATAGCATATTTTTAGGTAAAATAGCTACTGAGTTCACTTAGGAACAATCATTTCTTTAACACTCATCAGGGATGGAGGGTTTGAACATTAGGACAATGTCGGTGAGGCAGGCCATTCTGACTATTGGGATTCGATCGCTGATTTTGCAAAAGTGCACTCTACCCCCACTAGGATGTTGGTCTCCATTTAGTTAATAATCAATGTTTAATCCAGACTAACTTTCAGGGCACAAACATCAGTCTGCGCCGGCATTTTGATTTGACTGACAGGTCGCACGGGGGTAAATTGTATCTTCCTACACCAACGGGTAGGGGGGGGGGGGGGGGGGGGGTGGGGGGAGTGCTCTTTGCCAAGTTTTCTACTGTGACCTTAACTCTTCAAAATTGCCTTCATATTAAGCACTATTTTTCATTGTCTGGTAAGTAATCGGAAGAATTTTTATTTTGACAACTGGTTTATTCATTATATATTGTCATATTATGTAAAATGAATTATGGTCTATTTCTTATCTTATTCCCATATGAGATTGGAATTAAAGATTTATCCGCTGTCCCACAAATGTTATGAACATTTATTTATTTCAAATGGCAGACGTTTTGATAGCTATTATTAGCCTTTGAGTACTGTGAAAGGGGTCGAATATGACAAGCAGTCGGGCCATGGTAGTTTGAAGTGAGAAGTCAGCTGTTTGTTAATAGACTTTTTTGCCGTATGAGTATACGTTGCCCAGGGTGCACCACGTGGAGGTCGGTCTATCGCAAACCCCTTGTCATGAACATAATTTGATCATCTTGTGTTAAGCGGAGAACGTTTCACTCATGAGAATAGATATATTGGTAAAGGTGTGAGAGATGATGCCATAAGTAGGTATTTTCGTAGTAGTTGGATATCAACCGAAAATGGCGAATAAATTGGCACAATTAAGTAACTTTTCAACGTGAATAAACAAAGTGAATTCCTTTGTTTATAAAATCACAACTCCATTGGAGTCACGAATTTCCGAAATCGGGTGTCGGATGTACTTTAAATGTTACTCAACTTCGTGAAATTTATTCAAAATGCAGGATCTGCCTCACCCACGGTTAAATTCAATTTTTTTTCACAAGCCTGATAGTCAAGAGTATAATTAACCAATCGCATATTTCCCTGCTCTCGCTTGCATTGTTTGTTTGTTTTTGCCTAACAATGCAACACCCAATGGCTACCTCGTAGTCAAATTAAATTTTTTTTGTAATTTTTGTGAATTGTAGAAAAGACTTAACCTCAAAGATGGAGTGAATGAGGCCGTGTTTACTACAATTAATAAATACCAGGGCGCATGCTCTTGCTACTGTCTCATATTTGTGTGGAACTACGACGACAAAATTGTCATTTCCGATGTAGATGGCACTATTACCAAGTGAGCGACTACTCAAATACCATGGCGGAAGCAATAAAAAAATAAGTAATAAATTTTGTTCCCATCTTGAAGATCTGATATCCTTGGCCACGTGATGCATTGGGTGGGCTTAGAGTGGACACACTTGGGTGTTATTCAACTGTACAAGAAGATAGCGGAAAATGGATTTCGTCTGATGTACCTGTCAGCGAGGTCAATAGGTCAAGCTAGTCCGACGAGGAATTTCCTTGAGGGCTTGCACCAGGGTGATGAAAAATTGCCTGCTGGTCCCATTATCCTTTCACCCAACTCACTTCTTACAACAATTCAAATGTGAGTTTATTCTCATATTAATAATAACGAGTCTATTATCAGCTTGTCGTAAATTTATGAAAGGAGACATATCATAAGTTTACTAATATATAAAATGCACTTACTAGAAACGTCCAGATGACTTTAGAAGCTACTTGGGTCTTTGCCATCTCGATGTGAATTCTGATAAGTAGTTTCATAATTGCATTACTTCAATAAGATGCGAATGATTAGTTACGTGTATTCTTCCATGTATTTCGTCTACGGGCAGTAGTTGGCAGGGCATTTGTTCATCATATTGTTTTTTATTATTTGTCTGGTAGGAGAAAAACTCTTATAAATGTAAGAAAAGTGTAAAGGAACGTGTGTGAAACAGAGGAAGAAACAAGTACTGAAATTGTAATTATTATAATAAGTTTCCTTGACCTGTTTAGGGAAATAATTCAGAAGCGCCCACAGGTGCTTAAGATAGCGAACTTGAAACGTTTGAGTGAACTCTTCCTCGAGGCCGATCCAGACGCTCCAAACCCTTTCTACGCAGGTTTTGGCAATCGTATTACTGATGTGGAGACCTATCGAGCTGTGGGCATTCCTAACTCACGAATATTCATTGTCAATCCTGAGGGAATAATCGAAACTCCAATGGGCCTCAAACTACCAACCGGCTACAATGCTCTCAGTCAGATGATTGATTCAATCTTTCCCCCGGGACATCAAACACTGCCTGACAGTTCGGAGTACTCACATTTCTCCTTCTGGAGGGATCCTCTCTCAGAGGCCGATATTCCTCCTGAGTAAATTGTATTATCTTATCAGGAGGATAAAAAATAGCTCCTTGTACAGATTCCTATTATGATTTACGATTTTAATTTAAACCTCTATACCTCATATTTTTCTATTGAGATTATTATGATTTGTACCTTAAATATTACTATTATTATTTTAAATGGCAGGCTTTGTGATATTTAACATTAGCCCCCCCTTAGTTGGCTTCAACTTTCACAAGAAGGGGGTGGATGAACATATATTTAGGCTTTAGGACAGTAACAGTAGTTCATTAGTTATCTTCTGGCTTCCCACTAACTCTGGGTCTCTGTCGTTGTCTTTAATGGCTGGACACCGAATCCATTTCTTCCTGCAGGTTACATAGGGGGCATGCTGTTTGGGTGTATACTCCTAATCTGTGAAGGTGCTTCGCCAGATTTCCTCCTGTAGGTTACATAGAGGGCATGTGGGTTGATCGCTAGACACCGAATCAGGTGGGTCTTCTCCATTTCCTCCTTTGAACACCGAATCAGGTGGGTCTTCTCCATTTTCTCCTGTAGAGAATCAGATGGGTCTTCTCCATTTCCTCCTGTAGGTTTCACATCAGGTGGGTCTTCTCCATTTCCTCCTGTAGGTTACAGATCAGATGGGTCTTCTCCATTTCCTCATGTAGGTTACATATGGTGGGTCTTCTCCGTTTCCTCCTGTAGGTCACATAGACAGGTGGGACTTCTCCATTTCCTCCTGTAGGTTACATAGAGTATATGTGGGTTGAGTGTATACTCTCAATCTGTGAAGGTGTTTTGATTACTCCTAATCTGTGAAGGTGCTTCGCCAGGCAATCGTGTTCGGTACGTAGTCTAAACTCAGCAACGGCTTCGATTCTTGGCCAATAGTCTAAACTCAGCAATGGCTTCGATTCTTGGCCAGTCGACTATGTTGGAGAATCCCATTGTCCACTGTTTCTTCTTTGCTCGTACTTTAAGTTCGTTGGACCTTGAACCCTTGAATTCTCTCCTTATTAAGGTCCTCGTTGTATGGAAGGACATCGGCCGGCCTTGCCTTTCAAAATTGTGGTCCCCTTTCTCAGCAAGTTTGTCAGCGCGCTCATTGCCTATAATGCCACAGTGTCTAGGGAATCATTGAAGAACTACTCTTTCTTTTATCTCTCAACAACTGATAGTTTTTTATATTCGTATATCTCAGCTGCTTTGGGTGGTTCTCTGTTTCAAATTAAATATATTGCTGACTGTAAATCCGAAAGAATTACTTCTTTGGTGATTATCATATCCAGGCAGTACAACTTGCTTAGTGCTATCTTAATGGCCTCTATTACTCCTCCGAATGCGGTTCTATTTTATCCCGCTGTTTTGAAGAAAGAGAAGAGTTCAGAGTAAACCTGCACCAACACCAAAGTTTGCTTGGTTTTCTACGTATGACCCATCAGTGAAGACCTGGAGCCACTGACCTGCAGGATAGTTTACATTGATTGTCTCAAGGGCAAATGAACGCATTTGTTCTGGAGGGGTATTTGATTTCCTGAAACGGTCAAGCAGTTGGGTGCAACATTGTACATTAGTGTCTGCTAATGGGTTTTGTGGGTAAAGAGAGGCTTTTTGGTTTGTCAGCAATTTGTGATGCTTTCATCAGTTCTATGGCTTTCTGTATTAGGCCAGATTGCGTTTCTTAGGTGTGTTGGCCTATTCTCGTATGTGCTGAAGAATTTGTCCCTGGGATTCAAGGATCAGGGGCTTCTCTTCGATAAAGGAACGTATCGTGGTGATCCCTGTAACCAGGAGCATTGCATCAATGGGTGCTGATTTTATCCCTCCAGAAATTAGTATTAATGCCTGGTTGTGTGCCTTCTCTAGTGGTTTGAAAATCACCTCACTGGCTCACAGCAAAACAGCATTATTGGTTCAACTAAAACATCTTGTAAGTGGTGTTTAGAGTTGAGCGTGCACAGCTCCATATGCTACCAACGAGGAGCTTCAGTACGTTCAGTCTATTGGAGACTCGTTCTGCTACTTTAGCAATGTGGATTTTCTGTGTTATCTTTGTGTCAAACTTCACTCCGCAATAAGTGAACTCATTGGTTTTTTTCTAGAGAAGTATCCTTGTGCCTTAAATGCGGATTTATGTTGTGGTGGACCAATGAAAAATTTGGAATGCGTTTTTCGAGTGTTGCTAACCATTCCATTGTTGTCGCAACAGTTTGTTAATAGTTTAAGTGCATAATTTAGGGCACTTTCCGTCCTCTTCTGAGCATTTTTCTTACGGGCGGAATACC